AAGCCTAGATGGTTATACAATAACTTTTTTTTAAGACGTCAAGTGTTCGAACCTTCTCATTCATATATTTTTTTCAATATAGTTGAGACAACATGGAGTATTGTTGGTTGTGTGGATGACGTGGCATATTAAGGAGTTGAGTGGATGACGTGGCATGATTGAAGAGTTGAGTAAGTGACGTGGCAAAATGAGGGGGTCTATGTGACGCATAGACGTTCTTTGAAATGTTTTTTAATATATTAGTATAGATGTTTGATCAATCATTCCTCTAATTATATATATACTAATGTAAATTATAAAATATTCATACTCATTATTTGGATACCACACATTGAAATGATTCAAATAAGTCATTTTTTTATTTTTTTTTATTTTTTTGTATATAAGTAGTAATAGGTGGTCAAAGTTTTTTTTGTTTTACCTAATGTATAGTAGATGAGTGGGAAACAAACAAAGGTAGTATTTTACAATGATAACGTTATAATCCAAACAATCATATTCTAAGGGTGTTTGGCAAATGGCTTTTGGATGACTTTTTCACGTTCAAATACCTAACGATTAGGCACTAGGTATGCCTCTAAACTAGAGGTATCAGTTGGCTGAACCCTTAAGTGGACAAAATCAACTTGCACTCAGCTTGGTTATAGCTCTAAAGACGGTAAACCATAATAACCAACCCTACTTGACTTGAAGTCAACCCAAAATTGATTTGATTTGATGATTTTAGTCTCGTTTCCAATCTATGTATGTACACCCACTACTAGAAAACAGTCGATTTCCGACGGAAACCTTCCGACGGACACTTATTTCCGCCGAAATTTCCGACGGAATTATAATCCGTCGGAAATTTCCGACGAATTCAAATATTTCGTCGAAAATTTCTGACAGAATAAAAATCCGTCGGAATTTAAGTGCTTTCCGACGGAATATTCCGCCGGAAATTAACATTTCCGACGGAAATTTCCATCGGAATATTAATTTAAAAAAGGTTGTTTTCCTACAAAAAGGCTTCCGACAACCGGTTCCGACGGAAATTCTGTCGGAAAACCCGTTTTTGACGGAATTAAGGGTGATTGCGACGGAATTTTCCATCGAAAATGGCCTGTTTTCTTGTATTGACCCAAATTAAAGACATGTAATAAACCTGCCCATTTATAACTTGGAATCATTCCAATCTGAGAAATAACTTATATGACTTGATCAATTATGACCAGACTACGCCTGCAATCTGTTTTCACTACCTAACTTATTTGTATTTTATTAAGACCACAAATGGGGTCCAAATTTTTGACAAATATTGTGTTTGGGGTCTAACTTAATTTTACTTAGTTTTTAGGGTCTAGGGTGGATTTTCCGGAGATTTAACCTCACTTAAACTCACCGTTAACCATAAGCAAAAAAGTTAGACCTTTCTAAATGTTGGACCATATGTAAATAAGTTAGACCCCTAATTTTGCATTTAAATTTAGCAACATATCACAATAACTAACTGTCACAGTAGCTTTCCTTTGGGGAGGAAAAAAAAAAGAAAAGGAAGTCACAGTAGCTAATATCCAAAAATATAGCCGTTAGTTCTGTAACTACTCCAAAAGTTATTACAAATTTTGCTTAATAACGCTAAAAATAAGTTCTATGTTTATAACTTGATGCTTTAATAAAAGTCTAAGCTTCTGGTTTTTGTCAAAAAAGTTCTATGTTCTTTAGGGTTTTTTTTAAGAAAACTTTTAAAACAGTAGCATCTTAAAGAAGCAATAATATTCAGTGACTCCACAAGCTTCCTTAATGCCTTGGACACTGGAAAAAAATATAGTAATGCAAATGTATCTACTGTTTACAATGTTTTTATTTAAATTGTATAAGTGATGTACCTCAGTTGTAGGGTGGCTTTTCCATTGTTATGTTTGATGCTTGAGATTAGTGGGTGCCCGGATCATGCATTGCCTCTTGATGCTCAGGAGCTGCTGTAGCTTGTAGGGGACATTTCCTCTTTTTGTGACCAGTCTGTCTACAATTCCCACACTTATGCTCCTTATGTTGTTGGCCTTTCCTTGAGATCTTGATCCCTTCAGCCTCACCCATAGATCATTTCCTCTTTGTTTTTCTCCTGTGCTTCAGCATTTTAACAGCAGGGGCTATAATTGTGGCATACAGAGACTCTTTTCTCCTTCATTTGGACCATTCAAAGGCTCCAATGAAAATTGATAAGCTTCCAAATATTTTTTCTTAGTAAATTAGTGAGCCACATAGTGCTAAGGATGCTCCATTGCCTTCCAAATAGCTGTGACAACATGTTTGCAAGGATAACCCCTCAGTTGCCAAGCATTACAGCTGCTAGTTTTCTCAAGCAGACTCACCACATATCTAACTTGTGTACCCCCCTGCCTTATACCATAATTGAAGTTTCCATCCTAGTATGCAACCCACCCCCTTTCTTCTACTTTTGCATATTCAAGAGGTTTTTGGGATTCTTGGACAAATTAGGATATCCTTGCCTGCTAAGTAGTCTCTTTTCTTGTGCATTTTTTCCATCAACCCCTCCCTTATATCCTCCAACATTGTTATTATATGTTTATGTCTTGATGACAGTATGTAGGCATTAAAAATCTCATTCATATTGTAGTCAATACTATCATACTTGGACTGAGGGGTTTGAAAAACCCTTACCCATTTCTTGTAGTTTTTGTTTAGCAAGTCTTCTCCTGCTTCTGCATTTAGTTTAGAGAACAACTCAATGTTTGCATTGAAGTCATTTGCTGTTGTGCTTTTAGCCAACTTTTAGAATCCCCTAAAATACAGAAGTCCCCCTCCAAACTTGGTCTTGAAATTGAAGTACACATGTCGAGCACAACACCTAGTTTCAGCCCCTGGCCAAACATTTGAAACATCTTTTAACAACCCTTTTCGCTGGTCAGACATAATTGTATACCCATAACTATCCATTGTTCCCAAGTCTACTGCAAGGAGCTCTAAAAACCACTCCCAAGTATTTGTATCCTCCACCTCAACACATGCCCAAGCTATTGGAAACATTTGATTGTTTCCATCCCTTCCCACATCAAATAGTAGCTGACCACCAAAAGGTCCCCTTTCAAAAACGCCCATCTATTCCAAAGAAAGGTCTATAACCAGCAAGAAAGCCTCTCTTTATAGAGTCAAAGTAAATGTATAGTCTTTGAAATTGACCCATGTTGAGACCAAACTTTACAGTATTATGTGGGTTTGCTCTTTAATTTCTGTTGCATATCTATTCAATAATGAATATTGGTGTCTATATTCCCCTAAAATGAGCTCTTGAGCCTGTCTTCTTGCCTTTAATGCATACCAAGCACTTACTTTAATTCCAAAATCACTCCAAATTGTGTCAACTATTTCTTGACACTTGAGATATTGATTCACTCTGAATTTCTTGAGACAATGTTTAGCAATCAACTTAGACCTCAACCTCTTCACAAAAGGAACTCTACCACATATGTGCTTAGGTATTAGGATTTTAACAACCGTAGTCCCCTGCTCATTGTCACTAGAGGCCCAAATCCACCATGGGCAGCCTCTGTCATGAGTCATGTACTTAGCTCCCATTTTTTTCTTGCTATTCTTTGTCAAAACTATATCCCTCCCTTGGCTAACTAACACAATAGTTTGTTAAAGCTTTTCTGAATTCTTTAGCATCTTCAAACTGTTGGCCAAGAAAAAAAATGACTACCATCATAAACTCTAAGAGTTAACATGTGAGCTGAATATGTATCCACTTTTTTCTTCTTTTTTTTTTTTACTGTCAGGGACCAAATTTCCAATGTCCTCCCTGTCTCTGAGTTTTGAGGGCTATCTGGACAACTATCCATATCACTCCCATCATCTAGATCAGTGAGTGAGTCATCATCTCTTCCACCTTGCCTTCTAATATTGAGTAGCTCAATCTCTAAGTCTTTTTTTATTTTTTTTTTATTTTTTTTTGTGAAGTTCGATTTCCTCTCTAGCTCACCTAACCTCCTCATCATCATGATCACTACCTTCTTCATCATAGTCTATGTCATCATCATTATTAAAATGCACAACATGCTCACTTCTAATATTGTGATTCACATTGTAAATAACATGTTCACTACCCTAACCAATGTTATTATCAACACTAAACAAGTTTCTCATTGTCTCAGCATTGTTATTCCGATGTAACTGATACGCCCCCTTAAAATTCCCTGATCAGTTGCAGGGGCGGAGGAAAGGGGGGACAACTGTCCCCCCACTTTAAAAAAAATCAGATCTTTTTATTAAAAAAAAGAAAGAAAGAAAGAAAAAAAGAGCAAAACTTACGAAACACTACTGCACAAAGCCACAAACACTCCTAATCCACAAAACAAAGAAAATCAGTAAAAAGAAAAAGTGTGAAAGTGACATCATATAAAACAAAAAATATAAACAATAAAACTTACTAAAAGACAAACAATAAAATTTAAAAAAGTACAAAGGTAATTAAGAGTTTCTAGTTTCTACACACTACCACTTTTCGTCAATTCCCACAACTGCCCGCCTCGCTACCCGACTGCCTGACTTCGGCGATCACGCAGCCCGACACCGACGTCAATACCACGCCACCACCGCCCACCGCACCACCCCATTTCCCCCAAATTCTTTGTAAGTAACTTATAATTTTAAATTAATCCTCTAAATCCTAAATCTTTTTTTTTTTTTTTTTTTTTTTTTTTTTTTTTTTTTTTAAGTGTTAATTTTTAATTGTTTAAATTCTGATTTTTTTTTTATGGTTAATTGTTTGTATTCTAATGTTAGGTTAAAGTTCTCAAATTGTTCACTTTATAACTTCTTATTTGTGTTAAATTGTTTGGTAATTTTGATTACATGATATGATGGTAATTGAATTATTGTTGATTCATTGTTTTCATTTTTATTGATTTAATTAGGACATGTCAAAAAATTCACCTAATTAAAACAATTCTAAGACAAAGGGAAAACAACCTGATATTCGACAATTCATGTTTAAAAGAATGAAATCTCAAGGAAATGAACCCACTACATTTAGCTCCCCCCAAGCTCAAGAAAATGTTGAAGAAATTGGTGGTACTAGTACTAGTAATGTACCACCGGAGGAGGAAGAATTGATATATGACCCAGGAAAAAGAATGAACATAATGGGCTATCCCCCAAATCAAAGAAATGCGGTTAGGAGAGCTTATATTCTTAAAAAACATTGCCAACCAAAAACTCACAACTTTCCTTAAAGACAAGTGAGATGTTTGCGTCGTTTTAGTGTGAATTGGTTTAACAAATGAGATTGGCTTGAGTACATCATTGAAAAAGATGCCGCATTTTGTTTTGTATGTTGTTTAAAGGTGAATTTGAAAATAATATAGGAGGTGATGCATTTGTTGATGGAGGATTTAGGAAATGGAATAAGCCGGAAAGATTTGAGAAGCATGTTGGTGGAATTAAGAGTGCTCATAATCTTGCTAATGAGAAGTATGTTAACTTGAAAGATGGGAAAAATAAATCAATTGTGAATATGTTTGAAAAGGCAAGTGAGGTGATTAAAAGTGAATATTATATTCATTTAAATGCATCTTTAACTTGTTTAAGGTTAATTTTGGGGCAAGGTTTGGCATTTCGTGGGCATGATGAAAGTGATGAGTCTTATAATAGGGGTTATTTCATTGAGCTATTTAAATGTTTAGGAGAAAAGGTTAAGGAAGTAGGTGATCATACTCTTGAAAATGCATCCGGAAATTGTCAAATGACTTCTCCCCCGATTCAAAAAGACATTATTAATTGTTGTGCAAAAGAAACAACTAAGCTCATAGTTGAAGAGCTTGGTGATGATTACTTTGCTATATTGACCAATGAGTTAAGTGATGTGTCTCAAAAAGAGCAACTAGCTCTTGTTTTGCACTTTGATGATAGAGATAGTGGAAAGGTAATGGAGAGATTTTTAGGCATTGTTCCTGTTGGTGATACTACCGCTTTATCTCTTAAAGATGCAATTATGTCACTACTTGTGGAACATTTATTGAGTCCATCTATGATAAGAGGGAAAGGTTATGATGGGGCTAGTAATATGAAGGGTGAAATAAATGGCCTTAAGACTTTTATTATGAATGATACTCCAAGAGCCTACTACATACATTGTTTTGCTCATCAACTTCAACTCACACTAGTTGTCGTTGCTAAAAGGAATGATAGTTGTGGTTGGCTTTTTGAAATACTTGCAAACTTGTTGAATGTTGTTGGAGTTTCTTGCAAGAGAAGAGGCCCAGAGATACTCGTTGGGGATCTCATTACAAGTGTCTTGTAAGTATCATCTGCTTGTTTTCTACAATTGTTAAGGTACTTGTTCATCAGAAGATAAGTTTAAAGATCAAATTGCTTTAGGACAATTAGAGTAATTTGATTTTATTTTTGTGGCTTACTTGATGTTGACTACTTTTAGTTACACTAATGATTTGTGTATTGCTTTGCAAAGAAAGGAGCAAGATATTGTAAATACCATGGAACTAGTTACTTTCACAAAAAGTGTGTTGCAAAAAATGAGGGAACAAGGGTGGGAGACTCTCTTAAACAAGGTTAGTTTATTTTGCACTAAAAATGGAATTGATGTTCTCACTATGAATGCTCTTTATGTTCCTCAAGGAAGATCATGACGCTTTGTCGAAAAAACCAACAAATCTACATCATTTTCGAGTTGAAATATTTTTGGGGGTAATTGATTTGCATCTTCAAGAACTTGATAATCGATTCGATGAGATAAGCATGGAGTTACTTACTTGTATGGCTTGCTTAAATCCTAAAGATAACTTCTCATATTTTGACAAATAAAAGGTACTCAAACTTGCCTCTTTTTATCCTGAAGAATTTTCAAGTTTTGATTTGATGACACTTGAAGGTTAACTTGATATATTCATGGAAAATATGCACAACGATGAAAGATTTCAAAACTTGCGTGATCTTAACTCTTTTTCCATGATGCTTGTTAATACCAAGAAGGATAAGACATATCCTCTTGTATATTTGCTTATCAAGTTGATGTTGATTCTTCCTGTCGCTACGGCAAGTGTTGAAAGAGTGTTCTCCGCAATGACTTATGTCAAAAGTAAGTTGCGAAATAGTATGGGTGATCAACTTATGAATGATTGTTTGGTCACTTTTATTGAGAGGGAAGTGTTCCTACAAGTTCCCAATGTAGAAATCATTGATCGTTTTCTGAATATAAAGACTCGAAGGATGCAATTGTAATTTAATATTAAACTTTATGTAAATTTTTTCATCTTTTTTTTTAATTGTAGGACTAATTATATATTGTGGATTTTTTAGTTGTAAAATTTTAACTATAAAACTATCTTTGTGTTTATTTATTTATTTTAAATATTTTTGCCAAATGATGCGATGTTTAGTTGTCGTCCCCCCGGTTATATATCCTGGCTCCGCCACTGATCACTTATATCATCTTCATCATCCTCATGCTTAGTGTATACATATATGATTATATAGTGACTCAGCAAGCTTACTAACTTTGCAAATGTTACATCATCATAGCTCAAAAATCGAACCCCTGTCTTAATTATTGACTTACAAGGGTCACAATAATGCAATTTATTATGTCCTTGTACCCTTAGTTGTCAATTATCTTTCTCATTCCATTAACATTAGAATATGATGGTTTTTCATAAAAAACGCTCACTGATTCCCCAACATATTCTAAGTCTGGATTTTGTTTCCATTCAACAACATAGTGCATAATAATTATTGACATAGGAATTACATCCATTATCTATAGATACAATAAATAAATAAAAAAAAAAAAATCCCCATATACATCATTATTTACAATACTCTAACCATCCAAATGCACAAATTGCAATAATGAGATTAATGTAGACAAATTTAAAGTAATTAAAACAACAATAAAAAAAAAAAAGCACATCATATGAAAGTAGAAATTCTTAAATTTCATTAATATAAATATATTCAAGTACATCATTTGGAGTTGCCAAAGACGTGACATTGTGATACATTGCTTTAAAATTCCAAAAGCACAATGTCACTAATAACTTGACAAATGCAAAAAATTACATAAAATCATCATCACTGAATAACTACCTAACCCTGCTTACAATTAGTTCTAACAACATTGATGCCCTTAGCCATAAGAATTAACTAAATACTTTGGTTTCTTTTTACAACCTGAGGAATGATCTAGGCCCTATAATGCCAATTACTTCTCTAGTAACTACATACTTTAACTACCCTCTTCTGATCTTTGATACTCAAGGTGGGTAAATCTACATACATAAGTTCTCCTTTACGACCATTCTAACCTAGGACATAATTCAAGCAATTTAGGAGTAAATACCACATTATACCCAAACAAATTAACAATTAACAAAGAATTATAAGATCACTTACACAAAATTTAGATTTTCAATTTCTAACCAAAATTACACAACTCTAAATCAAATTACAAATTCAACCAACACTAATATAGTATGCACTACAATAATTAACTAAGTATAATTCAAAAAATTAAACAAAATAATATACACATCACATATTTTAATTTTTTAAAACAAACCATAAACCTTAACTTTGTCCATATACAAATTATGAAAAAAAAAAAACCAAAAAAAAAAGTGATCTCATTTCCTTACCATATATTTGCAAATGCTCCAAGGAATTTGGATGGAAAAGGTTTAATTTTCTAAATTAGCATTGCTCCAAAAGCTTGAGAGTGAAAGATGGGGGAATATGCTCTGTTTAGGTATTTGTGAGTAAATGAACAAAGAGAAGAAGAAAGAAATTAAGAGTTAATACATAGCAGTAAAAGTGACGTTCTCGTGCAATGTGGCGAAAAGATGAAGGGTCCAACTTTTTTCCCCTTTTAGATTTTTTGATTTTAAATAAAAAAAAAAATTAAAATTAAAAAAATCATTGGTTAACTATTGCAACTTTTTTTAACTAAGTGTCTAACTTTTTGGAAGAGAATTAATTAATTTGGCCGGAAAAAAAAATGTTAGACCCCAAAAACTATGTAAAATTAAGTTAGACCCCAAACATAATATTTGCCATTTACGATCTTAACTCTATTTTTATTATTTTTTGATTTAATATACCTTTTTTTTTGTCTTAACCTAAAATAAGCTTCAAATCACATATTTTTATTTATTTTTTATAGAAGTATCTCATATGGTATTAAGCTCAACCGTTTTAGGTTTCTTTTTTTAATTAAAAAATTCTGATTATGCATCACTTCATATTGCCTTTCACTAGTAGAAAAATTGAAATAGGCACCCCCCTTTAGCACCAGTTCGTGAAAACCGGTGCCAAAAGAAATGGGCGGGATTGAAAAATTCAGTGTTAGCACCGGTTCAAACCGATGCCAATTAAAAAAAACAAAAAAAAGAAGTATGGAATAGAGTTGGCACCGGTTTGCCTTTAACCGGTGCCAACTATGGTATTTAGCACCGGTTTAAACCGGTGCCATTTTTGAAAAAAAAACCGGGCGAAATAAAAAAAAATTCAGGTATTCATTTCTCTGCTTCTTCTTTCTTTCTTTCCCCCCTGCATTTCATTTTCGTTAACCCTAACTCTCGTTTAATTTCGCCCTTCTCTTAGCTTCGACCACCTTTCTCCATATTTCTCCTCCATTACGCGTGCTCGTAGTTCTCCATTGAAGCGCATTCTGAGCTTTGTCCATATCACTCCTCCACTACGCGTACTGTTAATTCTCCATTGAAGTGGATTCGAGCTTTCTCAGCTTCATTGAAGCAGCTTCGAGGTAAAAATTTGTTTTTGTCCTTTTTAGATTATCGATTTCAGTTTTCGCAATCTAGGGTTTGTCGTTTATTTGATTTTCGAATTTAGGGTTAGTTCTTGTAAACTAGGGTTAGTTTACTACTGCAACCCTCTTAATTTCGATTTGGGTTCTCTGGGTTTGGGTTTCACTTTGGGGTTTTTCTTGATTTGACTTTCTTTTAGGTAGTCAATGGGGAGGCAGTTTCGTGGGGGGGGGGGGGTTTACGGGTTTCGTGGGTGGTCAGGGTGACATTATGCACCATCTTCCTATTTGCTCAAGTGAGGGGTCAATTAAATTAACCGCACATTTTGTTTTGCTCTTTTCTCTTCGCCTGGGTTTGCTCACGCTGCTAAAGATGTGCTTAAGGTGTTAAACTTTTATTAAATTAACCGCATATTTTTTTTTGAATTGTTAAGTTGTTTGATTTTGCTTATTTTGATTCGCTCCAATGTATATAGAATATGGTTTTTGATGCGGATTCAAAAAAAAAATTGTTTGCTAAAAGAGGTTTGTTGTCTTGATTTTATTTTTTTGTTTGTTTAGTATGTTTGGTTGTAATGGTAATTGTTTAGTCAATGTTGATTATAAGCGGTTACTGCTGAGGAGCTGAGGGGAAATGCAGGATCAGTGTTGGTTGTCGTGTATTTCGGGGTTTAATGCTATTAACTACAAATTCCATCTGAAATTGAATGGGGTTTTACGTCAATATATTTCTTCTAATGCTACCTGGTTTAATGTACCACAACAATATTTGCTATCTGCTTATTACAACCAGTGGAGGGCTGAATCAGGATCAGTGTTGGTTGTCTTTCATACTTTTTTGCTGTATGTCATTTTCAGATGTAGAATTGAAGAGTGAGTAGAATTGAACGGCTATAAGGCTGGTATATAAATTGAAGTGTGAGTAGAATTGAGTCAAATTCGAATCTAGGAATTGATGAATTGGGTTTGATTTGATCAGTTTTTGAACTTGAAGGTTGAGATTTGATGTTTGGTTGTTTGGTTGAAAACTTGAGCTATTTACTTAATAGTAGTTAAGTTAAGTTGAGTTGCTCCTATTTTCTAAATCGCAACCTTCATGTTGAGTAGTTTATTAGTTCAAAAAGAGAACAGTTGGGTTATCCAACCAAATTAGAGAACCTTCAAGTAGAGATATATTGGCTTCACAAATTCATGGGTTGACTAAACTTTTGGAAGATAATATCACCTTGCCCTTAATGCTCAGCATCACTCTTATAACGCTGAAGCTCTCTGTTTGTTTAGTTCCCTGTATCAGATACTTGTGAGTTGTGACTGGGCAATCCCTCAACTTCTGGCAGCATTTCTAGCTAGACATGTCAGGTGAACTAAGTAACATTGTCTTGGTTGCTTGCCCTAGTTTATATGTGTGCCTATTTAAAGCAGTAAGATAGGTTTTTATGGCTTAGTATGTATGTTTGCTGGAGTGCCTTCTATTATATGACCTATCAGTTGATTTGGTGAAGTTTACATTCTATTTGATAGCTCAATGGTGTTACGGAGTAATTGGTTTAACTAGAATGCTAGAAGCAAGCAATACGAAGTATGAATGACCTTTTTGTTCTTATTATTTTCTTTCTTCCCCATTGGTCCTAGATTAAGTTTTTGCTTGTGTGGTAATCTATTTGGTTGACTATCTGTGTGTCTGTTTTTATTTACAAAATAGAAAATAGCTCACAGTTCTTATAAATTTGAGCAATGGGCATAGAGGCCACGTTTGTTAAGCAAAAGCTTGGGAATATGATTGAGCAGATTAGGAAAGGAAGTGATGACAAAAATCTGTCTATAAAATTCTTACTTTTCTTTTTCTTCCAAAACAGCAAATATTGGTTTAAACGTGAAAAAAATTGTGAATCTCCTAAATTACTCTTTGTTTTCTTTGAAAGTCTATAGCAGTTCATCATTAGTTAACCAAACTAAGGAGCCAATTCCAGTCTAACCGATTAAAACAAACTATATTTCCTAACATTTTTTTTAATCATTTTACTTTTGAAGAAATAACAAGATTATGTGTTTTGTTTAATCCAGTGTCCGTCTCATATCCATTAAATTTGTTTTGGAAAATAGTTTGGTAATTCGGTTTAATGGAAGGCTGTTATTTGGGAAATGATTTGCAGTTCAACAGATCCTATAATCAAGGATGCACGGACACGCCAAAAATCTGAAGAGTCCGAGTCGACACGCGTGTCGGACACGGACACGGATGAGACACGGGGCGACACGTGTCCGACACGCAGAAAACCGTGTCCGATTTTTTTTAACCGTTTTTTATTTTTGGACACGGGCCGTGTCTTGGGCTGACACGGGCCGTTTTGGTATGGACACGCGAAATACCTAAATTCCTATGCTTTGCCTCTCTACCTCTTTCCAAGTTTCCAGTTCTCAAACTCTCAATCCTCTCATCCTCTTAAGTCTCAACTGAACCCCTTGCTGCTCACTTGCTCAGTCGCCGACTTGTAGGTCTCACCGTACCGCCGGCTTGCTGTCTCCGTCACCGCCACTCGCCTCCTTGCCGGTTGTCAGGGTTGCTGGCCTGGCCCTTGCTGCTCGTGGCCTTCATCTCTCATTGTTGCGGGGGTTGCTGGAGTTGCTAGCCTGGACCTTGCTATTCGCCTGCTCGTCCTCAGCCACCACCTATCACTCCACCGCCCACCTTGTCGCCCGTCGTCCGTGTCAGCCACCAGGTATGGTTCTTCTCTACTTTTTTTTTTTAAAAATTCAATTAAAGTTCTGAATATGCATCCTTGGATGTCGAGAAGTGAGAGAATGTCGGTGAGAATGGAGTCTGGGAGAGAACTTAATCGGTCTTCATTTTCTGAGTCTCCGCCATTGTTGTCTTTAATGGAGCTCAATTTCAGCCTTTTCGTGCTTATTTCTTGGTGTTCTGCCATTCAACAATTGAGCTCCATTGTTATCTTTACTGGAGCTCAATTTCTTCCATTCAACAATTGCTGTGATTCTGAAGTGAATTCGAGTAATGCTAATTTGGGGAATTTTTTAGGGTTTTAATCAGTGTAAGTGTGTAAGAACTTATGATTTTCTGAAATTCAATTGCTTCAATAATTCAATTTGTTGTTCGTCGTCAGCCAGACAACCACCGCCCACCACCGTGTTTTGACAGTTTTGTTGATTACTTGATGAGATGTTTGATTTTGTGTTATGTTTCTAGTTTTGTTTGATTACTTGAAGAGTACTATTAAGACATGTCTGGTTTGATGGTTTCTTGATATGTATCCGACTATGTCCGTACACTTTGTTCATTTACTTGTTTAATTAAAATTGTGTGTTTTGAGGCTAATTATTTAGTGTTTTATTGAATTAGTTGTCAAATTCTCGTTTTTTTTAATATATTATATGCCTTGTTATACGCCGTACCCGTGTCCCCTATTTTAGGATTGCCGTTTTCCCGTGTCCGTATCGTGTCCGTATCCGTTTCCGTGCATCCTAGCCTATAATCACTCTGTTCTTCCTTATTGCCTGCAGCCTTAATATCTATGTTACATTTTGTTTCTAGTGTAGCTGCTGTTTCATTTAATCTGATTTTATAATTAGTTTTTGATTAGTTTAAAATTCTTTTTTCCTTGATGCACTTTACTGAGTTCTCAAAGATAATATACATCTTAGAACTTCTATTTGATCATATTTATCGTCTTACGAAATATTTGTTTCAACAACAGGAGGATCATGTGGCCCTTTTGTCTGCATTTTCAGAAATGGGACTCAAGTTGCGCATGGACTTACCTGAGCAGGCAATGGAAGTGACAACAATATTCTTTCGTAACTCAACTCCCGCAAGTAAAGCTGCTGTGAGTGCCCAGTTTGGTGTCAAGGTCACTGTTTTTTAATCTAATCTATACTAATTTCATGTTCTCTGTCCAGGAAACATTGAAGAATTTCTTAGAAGAAAGAGCAAAAAAAATGAAAGCCTTACAAGAAAAAATAAAGCTTGATGACAAAGAAGCTAAACGATTTAGTCCTGTAAGTACACTTGGTTTCAATGAATGATGCTACGATTGCTACACTATTTCTCCTGTCAAATATGTTTGTAAACATTGTAATGGTTGCTTTTAGGTTGATGCCTTTCCTGGGGATATAGTGATTTTTGCACGGGTGCTAAATCTTTTGAGAGGCTAGGGCGTTAATGCTTTATAGATAATCTTTTTTTAATTCACCTTCATTAAACAATGTCTTGACTTTTGAGGTTAATATACATGGCTTGAAATTAGTTAAACGTCTGACTTTGAAATAGGTCTTTCTGCTACAATGGAAGTCCGCATAGTCTACTTTGATATCATGAGACCAGCAGAACAGCAGTAGCAGTGCAGAACCAGGACAACAGTACCAGTGCAGGCAGAAGACACACAGCAGCCAGAAACCTTGGACACTTCAAAAAAAATTTTGGACGAAAATTGTAATATTTTAGCCTTTTTTAATGAAATAAAAATTATTTTTTATTTTTTTGGGGTATTTTTGGCACCGGTTTGGACCAGAACCGGTGCCAAAATTTGTTTAAATTCTTTTTTTGAGACTATAGGCACCGGTTCAAAGCAAGAATCGGTGCCTAAAGTGGGGTTTTTCGCACCGGTTTTAACTTAGAACCGGTGCCAATAGTATTGAAAATAAAAAAAAAAAATTGGCGCCATGGTAGTTGGCACCGGTTAACCGGTGCTAAATGCATGTAGTTGGCACCGGTTAACCGGTGCTAAATGCATGTAGTTGGCACCGGTTAACCGGTGCTAAATGCTTTAGTTGGCACCGGTTTTGAACCTGTGCCAAATTTTCATGGATTTGACATCCCTCAAATCCCTAACGGTTCAAAACCGGTGCCAGAGGGGGGGGGGTTTGAACCGGTGCCTTTTTACCATTTTCGTCTAGTGTTTGTCCCACATAAATTTTAAGTTTTTAACACTTATGTATGAATTATTAGGAGTTTCACTAATTAATTAAGTTGGCCTTATTATGTTCTTTTTTCTTTGCAAAAACATGATGTGTGTGTTGTTTGATCATCTCATGATGATGGTTTGTCTGATTTAATCATATTATATTGCCTAGATTGGAATACTTATGCATGTTTTTAGTATGGATTGTGATGCTTTGGACGGCTTGAGATATGTTGATATGATGATTATCAAATTTGTTGTGGTTTGCTGTCTTTCATTATGATTGAGATCCTCAATGATGTTCTTGTAGTAATGCATGCAATATGAGTTTACCATACATAAAATATATTGTCTCCATTAAATTCACAGTAAATGTTTACAAAAACTTGTACTTTTATCCACCATTATAATTTACAAATACTTTCTTAATTAATGGAGTTTTTCAAAAAACTTCTACTTTTGTCCACCAGACCATTTTCTTAATTGATTTTTCCTATAAGCTAGACCTTAATATTATTTATACAAAAAGTTATTTTCTTACGAATTTTACTTGACAATTCTCAAAAGTTACTTCTTTCCTTGCTTTAGAGATCTTTCACAGCATGTTAATTGGAATTTGATAGTTCACCCCTTTCTATGATTGCTCCATTCACAAAATGATCGAATTTTGGACCAAATCATCTGATACTTTAACATAGGTTGGTAATAGACCCAACCTTCAATTTGTAGTCTTTTCTTGCCCTTATAAGGAATTTTGTAGTTGTTGCCTCCTTTGACTTTCATAATTTCCTTTATTACATATATTGAGTGAAGTCAAGTCATTTTAATGATTATTAAGTTTATAATTTGCATCGGAGGTTAGAATACTTTCAACCAACTCTTCTACTGATTCAGGAAACTCTTGGTGTTGAATTGCCCTAAAAACCATAAGTCCAACACATTGAGGTTTGGAGATTGATATGAGCTGGCTGCCAGATTAGGTGCATGTAAAAACCATCAATGTTGACGTGAGGCCTTGCATCATATCCTGCTGGATCCATATAGTTTTTGCATGAGTTTACTAGCCATGTAGCTCTGATTGTAGGCATTACTTCTTCAAAAATCATCTTCCTTATGACATACCTTGTGACGGTCTGTTTTGCTTGCATTATTATTGTACCTCTTTCTCAGTTTTTGCTGTTTCTCGGTGCTGGCAATATATTTCTTCAATGAATAGAAATATCCCTATCTTTCCCTCCTAATTTGTTTGTCCATTTGATGCAATGTGCGGTCTACCTATTGTGCCCATGAACATGAATTTAATCATGTGAGTCTTACTATGAACAACTTTGTATGGATCTATCTTGTTCTTCTGACAATAAGTAAAATTTTATTTGTAATCCAAGTTAAAAAAAAAAAAAAACCATTTTTCATCGATGTGGACCATGTTATACATCATATCAAACCTTGGTAAAGTGTGAATAGTTCCTGGTAGAATTCTGGTTAAAACAAATTATAATCTTGTTGTTATATGTTTGGCAGTTAGCTTGGGTTTGATTGAGTTGTGTGTGTGTGTAGACACCTAAAAGTTTCTCCCCGAAATCAAACCCGATGATGAACAACCTTTCAGCGCTATTATTGGTCAGGTTAAGTATTTAATCTCGAGCGTGCTTAAAATCTTTTTTCAATTAAACACAACATACAAATCAGTCCACATTTTCAGTCCAAGTATTTATTCAAACTCTGTCCAATCCTTATTTCAGCCTAAACCATTTTAATCCATTTTATTCTATTTATTAATTAAGCCCGGTTAATAAATATTAGAACCCTAAATCTGAAATAAGCCCGCAACACTGAAATGATGCCTAATTATCCCGTACTTAATGTTGAATAAAAAGATAAAGATGAATTTAGACGGAATTCCAGAAAAGGCATGTGCCGTGCCACGGCAGGATTCTGCTATGCCACGATAAATTTTACCGTTTCACGGCAATTTGCGCCATGACGCGGCAATTTGTGCTGTGATGCGGCAATTTCTAGTGTTTATTCCTTCTACGACGACTCATTTCTAGGGTTTCCGGACCTCACCCCTCCCATTTCCTCTATAAATACGAAGTTGATTTCACAGTTTCGGGGGACCAACACACATTCTAATATCTCTCTCTCTCTCTCATATTCTAAGCCTTAAATATACCCTCTTAATTACACCATTCCTTCCTTAAGCACTCCCCGAAATCCATACAACACCCGAAGTTTCATACTTAAACCAAGGCGTGAAAGGTAGAACCGATTGAGGGTTTGGACCAAATAACCTATATTTTCCTTTAATCTTATTTCAATTTTATTTATTATTCTTTGAAGTTACTAACATTTTATTTATGATGTAGCAATTTAAAGAAGCGTGGAACGTGAGCAATTTAAATCAGTTAATTACTCTTATTATTATTATTCTTATTGCCAGTATCATGATTAGGTTTATTATTATGATTTGATTTGACTAACGTTATTATGGCTAAGTTGCTTCCAATGTTAATGTTGATTTTATTGTTATTGTATTGATCACCATATTGCATGTTAATGGGAATATGTAATTGAATTTAACGCTTAATAAGATAATTTGGACGACCGGTTTAGGTTCCTTTTTTAATCTTGTTGTTTTATCAAGTGATCACGATATTTAGAATTATATGTGTGCATTAATATTCAACCAATTTAGCCTAATTTTGTTTGGAGAAAATTGAATCTTTGTTTGTGTGCCTTGAGATGGCAGGAAATACTTTTCACTATAAGAATCGAGTAGAGGCCAATATGGGCGAATGTGACTCCATGATTCACTTCGTACCATCATCCCCAATCCTCTTTTCGTGGTTTCGAACCATATGGAGTTAGTAATCTCATGGATTATGAACGGGGTGTAACCTTCACGGGTCAATCGTTGTTGCCTATTGTTGTCCCTTAATCGTGGTTGCCTTAAATGATCTGTGAACGGTTTACTAGTTCCTTAAAAACTTGTTGGCGGCTCCCTACTTTTCTTTGTCCTTAATCGTGTCCCTAATCGTATGTCAATTCCCACTTCCTATGAGTGCCAAGCATATTCACAACATGCTTAGGTAGGCGCGCTTCGAATGATGCCTACAATTTGGCGACTCCATTGGGGAGGATTCTTGATTATTTATGAATTTGAGTGATCGGTATTTAATTAAGATGAGTTGATGAGACTTGAAAGATTCTTGAATCGTATTCCTATGATTAATTTGGCATTTTTTCATATGCATTGACGTTTTTAACATCGTATTTAGGTTCGCCTCGTAGGAAAAATCGAATAACCTGATCGCGATCGGAAAAAATAAAAGCACTGTTGTATCTTTATTTTTTCCGCGCAACGGCATAATTCCCATGATACGCTACAGAGTAGCGCGACGCAGCGCTCTGTACCGTGGCATGGTAATTTCTGCTGTGGCACGGAAGTCATAAAAACGCTGCAATGGTTCTCTTTTTTCTCGTAATTAGCATCCTTCGTTTTTTCCGAAAAACCGTATGTGTTCAACATACGTTTTAGCCTCGGGGGATTTAAGCACTATAAACCCGAAAACGTTCATGACGATAAGGGTTCATCTGTGTTATTAAATCCACCCAAACCATGGAGTCAAGCTTGATTTCATCATGAACTTGCGGAGCCGCCTGTTGGTATACACCCTCAAGGGAGGCTGCCTTGCTAACGTGTCCAAACTCTTAACCATGGTACCCTTTTGACACCAAATAAACTTGACCATAGTGGAACATAGAACTTGACCTTAGGTTGTGAACTTCATTGCATCATTGTGACTACGTGCCCTATGTATGCATATTTGATTGTTTTAATCCTAACCTTAACGATCGTTATTTGTCTATGATGTTGGTTTACTTTGTTTGATTTACGACTAATGAATTCCAACATATCGTACTCACTTAGTAATTAGCGCAAACTCTAAAGTTGACAAAAAACTGGAAAATAACACAAAACAGAACCTGAACTGATTACCGTGCCACGACAGTGTAAGACTTTTAGATACTATAAGTGGAATTTCATGAATCATAATCATACGCACCTAAATTAGGATCACATGCATAACACACAAGAATTCCATAATTATACCTTTGAAGCGTGAATTCCACGTAGCTATTCGATCAGCAAATTAGGGAGAGAATAGAGCCCCAAGCGTGACTCCTCTACTTTGTCCACGGGATTCGAATAAGCGTCCACCAATACTAGATTGGTCGAGTGAAGGGGAAAACCACGATCACCACCTTTGATGGAAAATCGACCACCACGACGAACCACCACCACCGTGCACACCCCCGACGCCGAGAGGGGAGGAGAGAGCCGTGAGAGATAGAGAGTTTGAGAGGGCTAGGTTTCGTGTTTTCTAATTAGGGTTTCACAAACTAACAATCAACTGTTCTCATGAAAAACCTAGGCACCTAGTCTATTTATAATCCTATTATAATTAGACTAGGTAAGGAAGCCCATAAACCCTCCAAACCAACTCATATGGCCGACCACCTAGGGGATGGGGC